CAAGTACATTTTATATTGAATTTTATACAACTCATCTTGTAGGGGATTTATAGAATTTCCTTGCAATGGAATTCCTTCTACAATTGGAATCTTCACATCCTGAATAGGTGGTTGATTTCTAAATTTGGCAGGGTCAAATTCTCCTTGGGACTCATTCGAATCTTGACATGAGGCTTCCGAAGGATGATTGCATGGACTATCCATTTAGACTCAAAATATATGAAGACTTGCAATAACAAAAAACTCAAAAACTCTCATGACTCCAAGACTCACACAATAACTATCATGACTCACCAAGACTCACTCAACAACCTGGCTCTGATACCAAATAGATGCAAGCAAAAGTATAGGAAGACCCCAACTTTTGCAAGCATATTACAAGATTTCCTAAGCTATAAGAAAATACACAAAATACTCAAAAATAGACAAAATATGACATTTAAACAAAATACAACTTTTATAGGATAAGCGATCCTTACAAACTTATATAATAAAAACACTTATAACTTTTATGACAACATAAAACCTAAAACTGCATTTTCTTGAGAATAAAGATACACGTGGCATCGAACTTGCCGAGAGAAGAAAGAGTTAAGAAGCCGATACGAAGAGAGGACAAGCTCGCAAGCTTTCCTAGAAGAAGATGAAGAGAAAAGGCATAGCTCGCAAGCTATCAAAAAAAAAACCTCAGGTTTTGATCTAAAAATTAGCACATAACACACCTTTTTTATTACAAAAACATCTAATATTTATAGGAGAAAAGGGGCATCCAAACGGCCCAAAACATCTTCAATTTACTCAATTAAAAAGGGGAAATAGAAGGCCATGGGGTTGTCTAGGAACAACACCCAAACAACCACCTAAAAACCCGAAAAAAGGCAGCCAGGGGAACCGGGACAGCAGCCAGGGAATTCGGAACAGCAGCCAAAGGGGGAGGAGGAACCAGGGAAACCAGAATAGCAGCCAAGGGAACCGGAATAGCAGCCAAAGGGGACCGGAAAAGGCAACCAGGGGAACCGAAAAAGGCAACCAGGCAGGGAAAACTGAAGAGCCACAAAGAAGGGGAAAGGAACGGGCAACCAAAGGGAAAAAAAACCAGCCACGGGAAGGAGAGCCAAGTGGGGAAACCAAAGGGCCAATAGAGAGGGGGAAGAATCTAATAAATCTCCAAATTATAAGCTTAAAAGGCACTCTACTAGACATTAATGAGTTGATTCTAGTAGAGGACCTAAAAGCTCTCCAAATTTATCCCCCCCCCCCCCCCCCCCCCCCTACCCCAGTTTCTTAAGGGCGTGTAAAATATAGGGTAGAAAAAGCACCAATAAGTTCGGCAGATAAAATTAAATTCAAAAGAATGGAAAGGAAGAACAAAGGTAATATGAATAGAACTTCTAAACATAAATTTAACACATCATACAGTAATTAGCAAAAAAAAAATAAAGGTTCATAAAGTTAATCCTAAACAGTTGAACAAGGCCAATGTGATGGTGATGATCTATCTTGTGGTAAAGAACCACAGGCCCAACCCCTCTCCTCATTAACAAACCCTATGCTTCTTACCAAAATGATTGGATCTCCGTAAGATAATAATTATAATGAGCTTGTAAGACTAGTCACTAGAACGCATCAAACCCAATCTGGATAACAGGACTTACGCCAGATGCCTATAGAATGAAAGTTAGAAACTTCACTCTTAATTACAAAAGCCAGGTCACAACTCTAGTAGCTGCTGGAACCCTGAAAACTCCTCCAAAATGTACTAGCAAGGACCAATAAAAGCACAAACCAGGCCTAGCTAATTGCATAGACAAACATTTATTCATGAGTAAAAGTAATTCCATCCATCAAGTTATGCTTTTGAGTTTTTTTTTTTTTTTAAGGCAAGCTCTTCCATCATCCATCAAAATTCTTCGTAACAACCCATCTAAAACTAGAACAAAAATCACTACTGTCATTAAGCAAAAATATTTTCTACTTAAATATGACCATGAACATGCTTACTTATTGAGTCAATACACAATTAAGAGTAACAAAAAGAGCACTTCCTATTCATATCAGGTATAAACAAGGAAAAACAGTAAGATGAATATGTAATAAAAACATGCATGGATAACAAATATATTGGGGGTGAGGATACCACTTAAGCTATAGCTATCCTCGACATTGCCAGGCAAGATAAATCTACGATTTCCGGAAGATGTTGCAGCCAATGGCACGGATGGATGGAAAGAGAAACAGTTAACAGTGTCTAGCAAAAAATAAACAAGTAATTAAAATTAGAAATGTCAAATGTTTTAAAAAATGCAAAACTTCTCAGTCTTAAGGAGTGTACCAGATGCAGCTTGAAACCCAGACACCCACTCTCCTGACTGAAGGTCATATATCTGAACTATACCATCCTGTTCAAATAGCAGATATTTGATAATACAATTTCTAAAGCTACGAAAATGACCTCAAAGGACAGCATTGTCACATTACCTGTCCACCTGTACCAAGGTGCCTTCCACTAGGTTCAATATCAAAAGATATCCGTTGATTTGTAGATTCTGAAGACCTATACAATCTGAAAAGCATTTGCTGAGTAAATACAGATGGTAATGTAATTGGAACTTTTGCCTTTTCCATTTGATTTAGAACGAATAAACAGAATTATGAGAAATAAAAACAGATTTTAAACAGGAAAAGGTAAGCACATGTAAATAAGGGGCCAACTTATGCAAGCACCAAGTCTATAACCATTAAAAATACTGAAAACTAATTTTGTTACGTCAATATTTTGTATTGTGATTTGTTGTAAGAACTGTGATGTCTTTTTCCATTGACATTTCAGAACATTTAAATGGTGCTAGCAGATGTGTCTAGGTTGGGGCTAGCCAAAGGAAGCATGAACTATTGGTAGAAACAGTGGGATTTGCCGCATGAATTATTCAAAATGCATGGAATAGCTCAACATAAGGCCGGGAAAAAAGAGTTTTGTCTTCCCGGTGAGGATCCAACTGTAGAGAGAGAACGTGAGGTAGATGGAGAGAAATGTAGAAGGAGACAGAATTCTATTCATGTTCAGAGAGGAGCAGATACAAGGGATTATATAAATTTGAGTAGTGTGTGTTGTACACGTGTTGTGTTGCTATTTGTTGATACATACATGGCTATATTATGGCTTTTACTTCCATGCAAGCTAATGGTGAGGGCTGCACTATTAGCTTGGATCGAAGAGTGTTGAATCTGTTTGTAGGTAGAGCTTTGGTGAACATGTCGGCCGGCTGATCGATGGAGCTGACAGGAACAACCATTATTTCCTTTGACTGTATGTGATCTCTGATGAAGTGAAAATCAACTTCGATGTGTTTCGTTCTTGCATGGAACACGGGGTTGTTGGCAAGTGCGATAGCAGAGTTGTTGTCGCAGTGTGTTTCTATAGGGTTGCGTTGTATAATGTTGAAATAGGCTAGGAGACGACGAAGCCAGATGACGTCAGCAGTAGCGGCTGCCAACGAGCGATACTCCGCCTCTATGGAGGATCTAGCCACTGTGTGTTGCTTTTTGACAATCCAAGAGATAAGAGTCTTACCTAAGAAGCAGCAGTAACCTGGGTGGAATGTCCGAGTGTCTGAATCTGTAGCCCAGTCCACATCAGAATAAGACGATAAAGTTAGGGATGAAGTGGAAATGGGAAGACCGAAATAGATAGTGCCTTTAATGTAGCGAAGGAGACGTTTTAAGAGAAGGTAGTGTGTTGAGGAGGGATTGTGCATGTGTTGGCATAAGGTGTTAACGGTGAAAGAGATGCCAGGTCTGATAATAGTGAGATATTGAAGAGAACCTGTGAGTTGACGATAAGTGGTGGGATTGAACAGAAGGAGGACTTGAGGAGGAGCAGTCGGCGATTTTGTTGTGGAAGGATTAGCTATCTGATTGCACTTGTCCATTCCAGCTTGTTGAAGGTTAGAGTGAGCATAGGATGATTGGGAGAGATGTAATTGATTATTGTGAGTGAGAATTTGGATGCCAAGGAACGTGAAAGGATTTCCGAGATTCTTGATTGAGAGATTAGTGCTAAGAGAGAAAATTATGTCGAGAAGAAAGGAGTTATTACCAGTTAGAAGAATATCATCTACATATATCAAAAGATATGATTGAATCGAATTTTGGTTGAAGATAAACAGAGATTGATCAGATTGACTGTTATGGAAGCCCAAAGAACTGAGATGGTTCGAGAAAGTCTGAAACCATTCACGCGGAGTCTGTTTGAGGCCATATAAGAATTTTTTAAGTAAACAGACATGATTGGGATACATGTTGTCCTCGAAGGCCCGAGGTTGTTTCATGTGAATTGTGGCGTGAAGAGAGTCGTGTAGAAAGGCGTTTGTGACATCGAGTTGATGAACAGGCCATTGATGGGTGATAGCTATAGTAAGAAGAACACGTATAGATGGAAATTTAGCTACCGAACAAAAGGTTTCTGTATAATTAAGTCTGTATTCTTGGTGATTGCCTTGAGCTACCAAGCGAGCTTTGTAACGAGATATAGTACCATCCGTGTTCCTCTTAATTGTATAAGTCCATCGGCAGCCCAAGATAGGTTTATCAAGCGAAGGAGGAACAAGTTGCTAGGTAACCTGTTGTTGAAGAGAGAGAAATTCGGAAGCCATAGCTGCTCGCCAGTGAGGATGTTTGATTGCTTCAGTGTAGGTAGTGGGATCTGAATTGAGAGATGAGCGCAAATTGAGAATTTGACAAGGCTTAAGAGAACCAGTTTTTGATCTGGTAATCATTCTTTCTATTTATTCTTTTTGTTTTATTCTTTTTCTTTTTTCTTGATTCTAATACCATACTTATCAAAGCAATTTTTACATCTGTTTCTAATAAGGATGGCTGCTGTTCAGTGATTAAAATAGAAACTTGACATGATTGGAAATATATAGAAGTTCAATTCTATGAATTCATACATCGTAGTCCACATAAGGGCAGCTCTAAATCAAAGGAGTCAAAAAACAGCACCATAGCATGAGCGGAAGAGAGAGAAAATTTCATCAACATAACAATAAGAAAAGGGACTTACTTGTAGAGAACACCAACAGTATTTCGAATATCCCAACATAATATGTACGGATCCTAGCAGAATTCCGAAACAATGATATTATTATCAAATAATAATAAGCAAATGATAAAAAAGAAGCCATACAAATCTTAATGGCCCTAGACATAGAGCAACTTTTAATTGGGATTACATATCCAAAAATCAGAAAATTTTAATATGGTTAATTTAAGCACACCAACAGAAGGGTGAATGGGTTGTGCATTTTTTGCACTTCAAAATTTCATTACAAAGTTCTACAATGCGGACGCTATAGAAATAATAACACTACAAAGGAAAATAATATATTAATTGAAACTCTATGTAGAAGCAAATAATATCAGAACTAAATTAAATAAAAAAAATTAGCGGTCAGTTGTAAAAATCAAGATATATGCAGTGTGTATACACTTATACAAATGAATACCTAAGTGACTAGTCATAATCTAAAAGATTGCACTCAATCATATCAGAAAACACACATTAGTAATCATATGCAATCCTACAAGTGACACAAATCACTGCAGTGTAGATTAATAGTCAAAACTAGATGAGTGGGTAATTTACTACTAAGCACATTGTAAATTAATTAGTTAATTCAAACAAATCATTTAGGCCGATAGTTGAGCTAATTATAACATGCAACTAATATAATGGTAATAAGTAAAATATCAAGCAAATATGAGTGGATTATTAGCAGAATGATATAAGTTGATTTCACTATGCAAGTTTGTAATATTAATCTAAGCAACCACCAGTAGTTAAATAATATATCCAAATATAAATATAATGATGTACAAGAAATGTAAATCTAATTCTATAGAGCAATTGAGGCATTGAGATATTTATATAGCTCCACCTACCAAATGGCTTTTGTCGATGAAGCATGAACACGGGCACAATAACATTGACACGATATGATCACGATGGCACGGTATAGCTATAAAAAGTTAAGATATAACATGCAATAGACACAACTTTATGTTTAGTAAATTATTAATATTAAAAATATAGTTTATAATATTTTTTTTTAAAAGCATCACCTGGTGTTTGTGTGCATGTGTGTGTGTGTGTGTCTCTCTCTCTCTCTCTCTCTCTCTCTCTCTCTCTCTCTCTCTCTCTCTCTCTCTCT